TAGTAGACTTTGATGCAATTCTGGTCAAACGCATCTAGGAATTGATGTCCAATATACATGAGTTCAAGTAAATGCTCAGCTGACAATATTTTGTATGTAACACCCAACTACAGGCAGAGCCTCCACGGTACCAGAATCTTGAATACTACTTTGCATGCTGTTGACCCAGACATTTCAGCCACAGGTATAAACAGTCTCAAAGAGGCATTGGCCAGCTTCACATGGCCAGATGTAACCTGAAAGTGCCTCCATCCAGACACTGGACCTCCAGATTTCACTTCTCTGACACCAATATCTGTGAGGCTGTAGAAAGCTGATTGGCAGTTACACGTGCATAATCCTCAAGTACTGGGCAATTACCACTTCTGATCTCCCTTTGTATGGAATGTTGCAGGTGGACAGAAATAAGGACCGTGTGTGTGTGTGTGTGTGTGTGTGTGTGTGTGTGTGTGTGTTACTGGGATTGAACCCAGAGCCTCATGCATGCTAGGCAAGCACTCTACCAACCAAGCTATATCTCCAAGCCCCATTTTTGGTGTTAAGTGCAGATGCAATAACAACACAATTAAGGCTCTTTTTGTGGAGAATTGGGATGAGGTATAGGAGGAAGAAGCAGCTCAGGGTCACCTGGTGGCTGTGGTACTTGAACAACATGAAAGCAATGATAACCATAGTGTAAGAAACAAGGGATTTATTGTTTTTTGTTAACTGCTTTGGAAATCTTGATAAAAAAAAAAAAATGACAGAGTCAGGTTAGCCAACTTCAACTCTAGAACAGTGTGATCCTTAGAAGGATTCCAGGGCAATGTTGAAAGAAACTTGATCTTATGCAGATGCAAGGAATACTATCTTGAATATTAAACCAAAGATTTAGTCATCAGGTGACAGCCATAAAGGAGACAGAATGCAGATCCCCAACGGGTCTCCTATTTCAAACGTAGGGACCTGGTAGGAAAAGGTTAAGATCTGGCATAGGGTAGAAAAGTCTGAGAATATTGAGTCACTAGATTTATTTTAATCCTCTAGGAGATCAAAATCAGATTTCTGTCCCTTGCTAGAGGAGACTGACATGAGACGCTGGCGATGCCTCACCTGAGTCTTGCCCTACAAAGTGATGCTTGTCTCTCTCAAAGTCCTCTCCCAGTTCTACTCACTGACCTCATAATGAAAATCAGAATTGGGTTTTGACTCAAGCAGGTGGGAAAATGCACCCCAGCTCTTAGAGGAAAGAAGGAATTGAAGAAACTGAAGGTCTTGGCTAATGCATGTGGGCAGGAATCTGCATAGACTTGTAGGAGTGGATCTTGAGAATGTTGGACCAGAATAGAAATAGAAAAACTGGATAACAGAGAATTTTTGACATGGAGCATTTTTCCTTGCTTCAAACTCAAGGTCCTGGAAAAAGAACCTGGAGCAATCTACTGCCTAGGATGGTTTCTTAAGGGTTGGACAAATCAATGGCCAGAAATAAATAAAGTCCAGATGCTGGAGCCTGACATCGCATTGACAGAAGAGCCAGAAAGCTCAAAGACATGGAAATATTAGAGTAGATTTTATTTTTTCTTTTGATTATTCATTTATGGCAGATCTCAGAAAATATTCATCAAGAATTCATAGGGACAATTGTAATTTAAATTTCTATAAGCATTTATGTTTATAAAGATTATAGGAGGGCTGGGATTATAGCTCAGTGGTGGAGCATATGCCTAGTACAGGTGAGGCGCTGGGTTCCGTCTTCAGTACCACATAAAAATAAATAAATAAAATAAGGGTTTTGTGTCCTTCTACAGTTAAAAATATTTTTTCAAAACTATCATAGGAATCACATAGATGCCATTTTACAGAAATGATTTCTATCAAGCACTTTGATTTTTTAACATCATCTCCAAATGATCTATACTTGAAAATAATGCACAATTTCTTCTTGAACAATGGTGACTAACTTTAAGAACTTTTTTTATTGTAGTAAAAGAGAGCATAAAATTTTATCCATATTAAGTGTACAATTCAGTGTCATTAAGTATGATCAAACTGTCATTCAGCCATCATCACCCTCTACCTCCAGAGATTTTTCATCGTCTCAAATTGAAACTCTGTGCCCATTAAGCAGGAACTCCCCACTCTCCTCTTCCTCCAGTTCCTGGCAACCTTTATTTTATTTTGTCTTTATGAACTTCATATTAGTGAAATTATACAGTATTTTTCCTTATACAATATTATTCCTTTAGTGTTCGGTTTATTTCACTTAGCATAATGTTTTCAAGGTTCATTTATGCCATAGCATGTATTGGAATTTCATTTTTTAAAAAGACGAATAATAGTCTATTGTATATGTATACCATATTTTGTTCATACATTCATCTCTTTTGACAATCGGATTGTTTCTGCATATGGATGTTGATGTAGAAGCACCATTTGGGGTCCCTACTTTAATTTTTTAGGTTATATACTTAGAGGTGGAATTTCTGGATCACACAGTAATTCTATGTCTAACTTTCTGAGGAAACATCGAATGGTTTACTGTAGCAGCTGCATAATTTTACATTCCCATGGGCAATGCACGAAGTTTCAAACTTCTCTACATCCTTGCCAAAACGAGTTATTTCTCTTTTTTAGAAAACAATAGATCCTAACAAATGTGAAGAATTTAGAAAATTTCTATTACTCTTTCAAACATTTTTCTTTTCCTTTTCTTTTCTTCTGATAGATCAAATACACATATATAGTTGATTCAATATTATTCTACAACTCATTGATGTTGTTTTCTCGGTCTTTTCTCTTTGCATTTCAATGCAGAAAGTTTTAATTTTTCTTTCTTTTTTCCTTTATCTTTTTTGTTTGTTTATTTATGTAGCAACCCTGGGGACTGAGCCCAGGACACTCTACTACTAAGCTACATCCCCAGTCCTTTTTATATTTTTATTTAGAGACAGGGTCTCACTAAATTGTCCAGGCTGGCCTTAAACTTGCAATCCTCCTGTCTCTGTCTTGCAAGTTTCTGGGGTTACGGGCATGCACCATATTCCTGAATAGTTTAGTATTATTATTTATTATATATTATTATATTATTATAATTATATATTATTATTTAGTTTAGTATTTAGAGACTTAAGGGGATTGCTTGAAAATGCCTTGAGCTCTGTTTTTGTTCAGTTTCCTCTCAAATATACTGCCTTATGCATCATAGATACCTTGGTTTTCTCAAACAATGGCCTTTGTCCATTTAACTTGGTGAGACTTGCTCACTCTATATGACTTGCTCTCCCTGAAACACTGCCTTGGAGTTACCCACAGGCAGAAAGACCTTACCATGGTGTTTCACACCTTTTGTTTTCCTTATCACAGGGCTACCATCTTGTTTGCTTCTTGACTAATTCCTACATCTCATTCAATTTTCTACTTGTTTACATTCAAAATAGAATTCAAGACTGGCTTACTCTCTCATGACTAAAAGCAGACATTCTTGCAAAGACCTTTTCTTATAATCTCAGAAACAACATCGTGTTGGTTTTGACACTGACCTGCAGAATATTGTATATATGGGCTAAAACTACAGCTGGTATATGGTGCTATGACCCCAATGTCTAGCAATATTGGTCCAGGAAATATGAAGTAGAAATAGAATTGACTCATCTCACCATTACTTCTCATGATCCATTTAACAATTAGTTTCCTATCCCCACAGGCTAAGATTCTGCTGAATTAATTGTCCTACTTTTAGGTAACAGAACATGTTCATTAGAGGAAATGGTAGAACTTCCACTCAAATTAAAGTTCTGTATACCATCTGTAAACTTGGAGCAGTTCATGGTTTTAGACCTGCAAGCAAAGAGAAGATGTTAACATAATGAAAAGAGTAACTGACTCAGATTATCATCAACAGCTAAGGCTACTGTATGTAATGTGTGCCTGGAAGACTGTGTCAGGAACACAGGAGATTTCCTGGGGCATCTATTGATATTCCTATGACAGTGGTAGAGCAGGAGCAATTGCAGTGATCACAGTATTCAATCTTGCACTATTAAATATGATGCCACCTGTAGAATTTTCAGATGCCTCTTATTAGGATAAGGAAGTTCCTTCTATCCCAGGGTTGCTAAGAACTTTTATCTTGAATGGGTGTTGAATCTTGTCAAATGTTTTTGATACAGAGAATTACAAAACTCTGCTTGATATATAACTACCAAAGGGAATTGGCTGGATGGGGGATAAAAGTCAGAGGGACATAGAGAAGGTGATATTGTCTGAAATAATTGGGTGCATTATGTTCCAGTGAAAGGGGTCAGCTAGAGGCCACCTAGCAGTCCCTGCTCTTTCCATGATTCAAAGGCAACACTGTGCAGCCCTTGAAACTACTGATTCAATCTCCATCCATGGTTGACAACTGGCACCCATTCTCCAATGTGCTGAGCAGCATCTTAGAATTCCTCTAAAAGGCCACAACTTGTATCCATTTCTGCCACCTTGCTGTCCTGTGACAAACAGCAGTTATGATATTACCAACATGAAACTGGGAGGCAGATTACCCACTATTCTCTGGCAGTCCTTGTAATTAGCTATTAAGCTTTGGTTGCCAAACCCCCAATGCAAATCTATTCAGAGAACAATTAAACTTGACTTTCTCATTAGAAATCCATGATTTCCCTAACCTTTCATTCAGGCCATGGATTCCATGTGATGAATATCATCTTATAATTTGTCATATCAGTTATGTATCTTTTGTCTTATAGCTTACTTAAAATAGCTTCTGATTTTGCAGAAGGGTGTTTAGAGGACAGAGAAAGCATCTGTCATCTAATCATTAAAGATATTGTGATAGGGCTGGGAATAAAGCTCAGTTGCTCAGTTGGTAAAGTCCTTGCCTCACATGCACAAGGCCCTGGGTTCAATCCCCAGAACAACCAAAAAAAAAAAAATATATATATATATATATATAACAAAGACACTACAACATGTTTTAGTAATTCATTTCTATTTTATCAGCATTTTCAAATCCTCACTGCCTTGGCCAGATTCCTGAGTCCTTATATTTGTGTCCGTAGTTCTGGAAGTCCTCCAAGTGATTCTCATGTAGGTGATCCATGAATACCCTTGGCAAGTTCTGATCTCTGATAATGAATGTGCCTCTGCCGGGAACAGGACAGCACCATGTGGGGGTCTCTGCCTCTGCTACCTTGGCTCACACAGACCTGGGTTGGAGCTGAGCATCCAGAAGTCTCCAGGGCCAACACGTCATTGGTTAACCAACAGTGGAGTCTACCCTCTACCTGAAAAAAAGGTAGAAGATCACAGTCTGGGATGGAACCATGTATGAGGACAAAACTCATTAGTTTGCCTTTTTAAAAATGTTTAAATATTTAACTGCCTTACTGTCCTTCCTGCTCCATTGATCAAAGTCTCCAGAGCCTTTCCTTGTTTCATTAATACAAATAATAACAACAGTAATACTAACCTCTTATATCTCATGCAATCAGAGACTAACTGAATCTCAGAACCAAATAAATCACTGAGATTGCCTCACTTACCCCTGAGAAGTGAAAAGTATATGATATGGTGATAGGAAAGAGTCCTGATTCTCAGTTCAGGGTCTTCAGTCTAGGAATTTACAAAAGTGTTTCATGGCTATTCATCATTAATATACCTGTCTTACTTGTGCCTCAGGGAAACACACACACACACACACACAATGTTCCTCAGAAGCAACCACACTCTTAGACTCATAGGCAGATAATTGCCTGAGGCTGGCCCTGAGAAGGCTTCACCCACTGACCCAGAAGCTGCACTGATGACCCATGAGCACCTCCTCCTGCTCTGTGCTAAAATTATTGTCACAAATAACCAAACCTAATAACAATCACCAGAAAAGAAATGCTGAGCCTGGGAGTGACATATACCAGTGATACCAGCTACTCTGGAAGCTGAGGCAGGAGGAGTACAAGTTCAAGACCAGCCTCTGAAACCTACTAAGACCCTGTTTCAAAATAAAAATAAAAGAAGGACTGGGGGCAAAGCTCCTTGGTAGAGTACATCTGGGTTAAATTCCCAGCGTGTGTGCATGGACGTGCGCGCACACACACACGATGACAATAAAAGCTTTCTTTTATTGAATGTTGTGCATATATGTATGTTAATAAAACAAGTTAAAAAACGAAGATATTACAGCATAGACATGCAAAAGTAATGAGTGATCATTTTCACTCCATTAATTTTTAAAACCCTAGATCTACATATTGGTCTACTGTGAAAACGAATAATATTACAATTAAATAACAAATAACAACAAGGATAGCAATTAAATTCAATAAACTTTTAAGAATATGACTCACTTCAGTAAAATATGTCATGTATCAATGAAAATTTTCCCTTACCAAAAAAACAAAAAATTACACCTCCCAGTTTTACTGTTTTGAATTATAAACCCAAACAAAACTCATTGGCCATGGAGTTGACAGAATTGAAGTTCTGTGCCTTCATTTTTGCAGTCACTGTGCTGTAATCGTTTCTTTGGACTCCACAGTATAAAAGCAGGAATATGGGTACCCCAGGGGTTGGAGTCACAACTGCACCTGAAGCAAGCTGGAGGGATTTCAATCTATTACAAATTTCTTCTCCCAAGAAAGCATGCAGCTGGATTAGTGTGGGAAGTGCCAGGGAAAGGGGGAGGAAATAGGACAACAACTACATAACTGGGAATTCTCTTAATTAACTTCCACGTATAATATAATTACTAAGCGGTAATTGATAAAAATGTATACATTTGAAGTTTATGTATATAAACCAATTAACGCAGCAGGAACTTTAGCAATTGTTGGAACTTAGACAAACCAAAGATAATTTATCATTGACTTTGTTTAAAATTGGCAGAGCATGGTAATAGTTAAAAGCAGACTATATTGGGCTGGGGTTCAGCGGTAGCACACTTGCCTGGCATTGTGAGGCACTCGGTCCAATTCTCAGTGCCACATATAAATATATAAAATAAAGGTCTATCAATAACTTAAAAAATATATTTTAAAAAAAGCAAACTATATTTTCTGACATCTATGAAAAGATCTACATGTAATTATCAAATTTAATGGTGAAAGACTGAATACTTCAGTATTAATGTGGTGAATAGGCAAGGATATTCTCTGTCATCTGTTCAATATTTCACTGGAAGTCCTAACCATTTCAAAAATAGCATGAAAAGGAAAGAAAGGTATAGATATTGGACAGGAAAATAATAAAACAATCTTTTTCACAGATAACATTATTGTGTTAGAAAATCCAAAGGAATTTACAAAAAGAAAAAAAAACTACCAGAACTAATAAGTTGAATTTAGAAAGGTCGTAAGATACAAGGTCAATATATAAACTCAATTGTATTACTATATACCAGTAATGAACACTTATTAAATAAAATTCAAAACACAGTTCCATTTAAAATGCCATAAAAATCTTGACATACTTTGGGGTAAATTTAACACATTTTTATAAGACCTGTACACTGAAAACTATAAAACATTGCTAAAAAATTAAATCAGATCTAAACAGAGACATATATCATGTTCATGAATCTGAAGATTCAATATTGTTAAGATGGCAATTCTCCCCAAATTGATTCAAAGATTGAACACAATCCCAATCAAAATTCCCCAACAGATTTTTTTAGAACTTGACAAGCTGATTCTAAACTTTATAAGGAAATGGAAAAAAAAACTAATATAACCAAACAATTTTAAAACTTTATATAAAACTATAGTTTTATATAAACAATGTGAGTTTGAGACTAGCCTGAGCAAGATAATGAGATCCCAATTCAAAAATAAAAAAAAGAGAGAGATACACAATATGAGATAACTTGAAAGTGATATGAAAGTAATAGTCAAGAGGATATTAAAATAGACACTGTCCCGAAATGTGTGTGTGTGTGTGTGTGTGTATTTTGGCTCACATACTGTATGTATTCATGCATATATATACGTAGTAAAGTGATTGTCAAAAAAGGTGTCAAGACATTTTCAAGGAGAAAAGTGATACTTCAATAAATGGTCCTGGTACAACTGATTATCTATGTAAAAAATGTAAGTATGACCCTTATCTCATAGCAAATTCAATTATTAATTAAAAATGTATAACAGGTATAAAGATGGAACTGTAAAACTCCTAGAAGAAAACCTAGGAGAAAGTATTTGCAACTTTGGTAGAGACAGATATTTCATACACAGGACATAAGACTCACAACTTTTTTTTTCTGTACTGGGGGATTGAACCCCGGGACACTCTATCACTGAGCTATATCCACAGCCCTTTTTATTTTATTTTTGAGACAAGGTCTTACTGATTTGCCCAGGTGGGTCTCAAACTTGCAATCCTCCTGCCTCAGCCTCCCAAGTTCCCAGAATTACAGACAGATGCCTGGTAAAACCCACAAACTAATAAAGACGTAATCTGTAAATTTGGCTTTTACAAAGTTAACATTTTTGCTCACCCAAAAAAACACTATTAGGAAAAATAAAAAAAAAAACACAGAAAAACATTTGCCATACATATATCTGACAAATAACTTATATGCAGAATGTGTAAAGTATTAATTTAACTCAGCCATGAAGAGAGAAATCAATTAAACAGGCAAAATATTTGAAGACACTCCACAAAGGAAGATATATGAATGATTAATAAGCACTTGTTATGGCCTTACAACATCAGTAAGGAAAATGCAAGTAGGGATTAGGAAAACGCAAGTTAAAACCAAAAATGAAACACTACTTCACATCTACTATGGTTTGGACGTGAGGTGTCTCCTAAAAGCTCCTATGTTAATATAGGAATACTCAGAGGAGAAATTATTCCATTATGAGGGCTACAACCTAATTGGTGTGTGCTAGTTGAAGGGACTAACTGGGTGGTTAACTGTAGGCAGGTGGGGCCTGGCTGAAGGAGGTGGGTCACTGGAGGGTACCCTGGAAGGGTTTATCTTCCCTGCAGTCCCTTCCCCACCCCCTCTGCTTTCCAGTTGCTATGAAGGAGCGGTTTTCTTCTGCCCACCCTTCTGCCATGATGCTCCACCTCACCTTCAGCCCAGAGCAATAAAGAAGGTCAACCATGGACTAAACCTCTGAAAATGTGAGCCAAAATAAGCTTTTCCTCCTCTTAAGTTGTACTTGTCAGGTATTTTACAGGAATAAAATATTATTGCAATTTTGGAAAACATTCTGACACTTTCTCATAAATTTAAACTTGTACTTGCCATAGGATCCATCAATCCCACTTCAGGTATTTTATCAAAAAGAAGTGAAAACTTGTCCTCACACAAAGATTTGTATACAAATGTTCATAGTAGTTCTTTAATATATACATAATATACTCCAAGTCAGAAACCACTCACAATGTGTGTCAAGGGAATGGACAAATTGTGGCATGCCTACATAATGGAATACAATTCAGGGGTAAAAAAAGGAAGACTCCACTGATACACACAACAATGTGCCCCTCTGATAAATGAAAGAAGCCTGACACACTCCCTGTGTTAAAAAAAAATATTCCAGTAAATGCAAACTTTTCTATAGTGATAGAAAGCAGATCAGTGTTTGCTAAGGGATGGGGAGAAGAGGAAGTTAATTGAACAGGATATAAGGCAATTCAAGGTTACAGAAATTTTTTGTGTCTCATTGATATAGTATTTTCATGTATTATATACAGTTTTCAAAACACATCCAACTGTACATTTAAAACGGGAGCCTATCTATGATATACCACAAAAAGCCTCACGAAAAACAAAAACATAACCAAGTTCTTGAATTCTCATCTGCTGCCTCTCTCATTCTTTTCCTGCTGCCACAAGGAGTACCACAGCTAGGGTTTAGGTGTGGTTTCATGGTTTAATTCTGTTCCCTAAGGGTCCATTGTGATTGGTCCATGAAGTGATGTTGGTGGAACCTTTGGGGCATGGGGCCTAGTGGAAGGTCCTTGGTTCCCTGGGAGCATGCCCTTTGAAGGCAGTTTTCCTAAAGATAGCCTCTTCAACAAATGGTGCTGGGAAAACTGGAAATCTATATGCAACAAAATGAAATTAAACCCCTATCTCTCACCATGCACAAAACTCAAAATGGATCAAGGACCTAGGAATTAAACTAGAGACCCTGCCTCTAATAAAAGAAAAAGGAGGCCCCAATCTCCATCATGTTGGATTAGGCCCTAACTTCCTTAGTAAGACTCCTGTGGCACAAGAATTAAAATCAAGAATCAATAAATGAGATGGACTCAAATTAAAAAGTTTCTTCTCAGC